AACTTGATTCTTGGCTATAGCTGTACGCAAATTTTCCGTGAAATTAAACTTTTTCTTGGCTTTGTTATGTCAGTTTTACTGCTCCCTCTTGGACTGTTTTCCAAAATCCATTCAGTATTCTTCAATGCCGTTTGCCTAGTGCTCGTTTTAAAAACCTGAAAGTGCAGAAGGCCATTGGAAAATCGTCAAATGATTTTACACGTATCTCATTAAACTGAATACAATTTATTCCTGTTTCTGATTCTTTCTTTGCTAAATAAGTGGCAGTTGACTTAGGCATGTGACTAGGCTTTGTTCATGTGAAGCGCAATTTTATTAATGTCCTTTTCATGTAAAGCTGAAGTTTCATCTGCAGAAATTAGCTTATAGTGCAGTGAATTAATTTTCGCCGTACTTAAGACTTTTTTTATTTTTAATTTACCACCGTCCAGTGACGTAGCTAGGAGGGCAAGAGGAAAGATATGTTCCCGGGGGCACCATCCAGGGGACGCCAAATTGATGCCACGAAATTTTAGAATGAAATGTTTTTCATTCTTCGCAGACAGGAGGGGGGCACGAAATCTGCAGTTATTCCACGGCGCTGAACACACTAGCTACGGTTCTGCCCGCTGTAACAAAATCCTACACTATCATGAATCCCGTTGGAAACTTTTCCGTACATTGAAGAAGCCATTTCGTACGGTCATTTCCTTCAGCTGAGCCTCAGAAATTTGGTCTATTTTTTGTGTTAATTATTATTTTCTGTTTTAATTATGCCCATGTCTTATCGAGTGTTACCACAAATTTCCATTTATCAGTAGCTAGGAGTTTTTTATATACTTTTCTACAAATCGTTTTCATTTCGCAATGTGCTGTACCAAAAGCAGATGACTTAAGATTCAGATACCTTTCTTAAAATATTTATGAATGATTTTTCTTAAAGTACCAGAAATGCATTCCCAGTTTCGATGCAGGGACGTAGCTAGAGGGGGACAAGGGGAGACATTTGTCCCCGGGCGCAGCTTCCAGTCATAGTTCACTGGCGCTGAAAGCACTAGCTACAGCTCTCTAGCAACGGATCTTTGAATCGGTGGATGTTTGTTCAGGATCCTAGATAGTTATTTGCGATCGAACCAGAGAGGTTTATTCTAACTTCTTTCGGTCGAAAAGTCATCGGATGCGGGTCCGCCCATCTTTTTTTTTTTTTTTTTTTTTAATTTTCAGCTAGACTTTTTTTTTCCCTTTCAAATTTAATGTATTAAAAATACCTTTCTTTGAATTACAGCATCTCGATTTTTACAACTCTTTACGATTGCTCCGAATATTTTTGCACAGAAAATGCATTTATGTAATATTCAGATCGTTTCAAACTAAATCTCTTATTTTCTATTCTTGTCAAAACAAAACAGTCGTTCGCCATTATACTGAAAATGGATTCCAAATTTTTAAAGTTATGTATGCGTTTGCTAATCGAGAAACAGTGAGTAATAGTTGTTATGTATATCTATTTAGTGAATGGATTCTGTGTCATAACTTTCACATTTCTGTCTTCGCTTAGTTTTGACAATTTTCATTGTATTTACAGAAATATATCACTAATTTTTTTTTTTTTTTTTATTATTTTAAATGTTCTATTTGATAATCTTTATTCTTCCCTATCTTTCTACACCGTAATTTCCAAGACAGTATTTTGCAATATCGGAAGACGTACTTTATCCCATTCCTCATGAACAGCTTTCCAAAGTCCAACGAAGGTTGTAGTTCGTCGTTTCGACAATCCGCTTTTTAAAAGTCCAAAAATCTGTGGGTTACATCAAGAAATTTCGTAGGGATATGAATGAAGGGTTTGGCCTTGATAACACGTTTCTTGTTCCATTTTTTTTTTTTTTTTTTTTTTTTTTTTTCAAGAAATTAACAATGGATTTTGACGTATGGCTGCTCGCTTTGTCTTGATGCAGTTCTACTGATTTATGACACTGTGAGTAAAGCGAAGGTATTTCATATTTGAAAATTGGGTATAAAATAGCTTTCTGATAATACATGGAGCTGATCTTAACATTTTTCTCCACTCTCTTTATGTTTAATTTGCCGTTATATGATAAACAAGCAGCAGTTATAAATCCGTTTGTAAAACTTTTCTTTAGATTTTTTTAACCATGATTTAAGTTTTTCCCTCCACTTTGATGATAATAAACCGATCACTTTTTATTTCAGTCATTTAAATGCACTCAAGATTCATGTATTGCGACAACATTTTTGCATTTTTACACGGATAAATGTTTCTCATAAAGAATTCTGCAGCGCGTTCTGCGTTGGGCGATATGTCAAGGTGAAAGACAATGCATATTATGCTTTTTCGACTTTTTATGATTAAAATCAGCATTAATCATTTTGTTTATAGTTGACACGGAACATTTTAATGATTTTTAAAATGTACTTTGAGTTAACGGATTCTCTTTCAAAACTAAAGATCTTATCTTTGCAACTTTTGAAATATTCCGTTTCTTTTCGAAATATATTCGGAACAATTTTTCTATTTAAAGCCAAATTTCGACTTTTCCCTCGTTCTTATTGACAATATTACCTATCGTAGCTTTATATATCGAAAAACTATGGCTTTTACAGAGTTTTTTAATAACTAAATAGGAATAATTTTCTTCGGAAAGAGCAGAAACATATCCTTCCATCCACTGCTTCTTTAAAAGCGCAATTTTGCATGAAAATAAAATTGTTAAGTTGCAGACGATAACATATACTTTCAAAAATATAGTTGCAATTAAAACAAAAATTTCCAAGCAGACGATTTTTTAAAGCAAAGCAAAATTGTCTGAAAAATGTGTGAACAACCTCTGTATTAGATTTAAAATAGCTCTTAAGAATGGTATCAGATACAAATGATATTTTTTTTAAAGAAGGGCACTTATATTGTATATGTATATTATATTAAATTTAATGAAATTATGATGTATTTTTCTTGATTGCATTCTTTATATCCACTTGAAAGGTGGTATTATGAATATAAATTAATAAGAAAATTTATCTTCAAAAGGAAGCTGACAAATTAATAGCAATAAAGGTAGAAAATATTTTAATGTTTTGCTAACTTGTCGACGTGGTTTTAGAAGCATTGAAGTGTCTGAAATTTACTTATTATGTAGGGCCAGTTAAAGAAATTTCAAGACTTCCCGGAAGTTAGGAAATGAGATGGTCAAAGTCTAGGTCTTCCACTCAGGAAATGGTAACGATAGAAACAAAAATACTAACAATAAACTTGCAACCTGAAACCTTGAGATTATAGTGTATAAAATATCCTAGCATTTTAAAGTTCTAAAAATGTAAAATATCATAAAAATTCGTAGAAATATGCACCACTTGACATAAGATCTTAATTTCATGGGGATTTAATTATTTTCATACTTTCCTATTTATGTCATTTTACTTTCAAAACTGTAGAAATAGTATAATAGCCGACTAAACATCTATCATCTTCTCTTAAGCAAAATTAATACCCCTTATCGCCAATTCAAAACAATAAATCTCTACTATCAATTAAAAATAATTTTGAAAAACTCTTTATTCTCTGAAAATAAATTAATATATGTGAAACGCCACCTCCATAAAAAAACCAAAGAAGTTAGACATTTGCGATTTTTCAGTGGTTATGGATAACTTGTTGAGCTTTTTTATTCTGTAACTGCAATAACAACATCCATTAAAGTTTTGGAGCTCTTCACTTTGATGGCGGTTATGAAAGTCGTTAATGGAGACACCATTGTTGGACCATTACATCTGAAAGAATGAGTTTTAACGTGAATTTAAAATTCTTTTGTCTGAAGGTAATGACGGAGTTTCGATTTCATTGTAAAATTTTAAACATCTTGATAAAAGATTTACAACTGTGACTTTTGAGGTATTATTTAATTACTGAACTGGAATTTCAGTCCATGCAAGATCTCAAAGGTTTGAAGCTCAAAAGCATTGTTTGTATCAGAAGTTTAGCTTAGTTGCATTAGTATTTGTGCATGGCGCCCCCCCCTTGTTGACCAGCCCTGTCATTATGTGCCCAAGAAATAAAGTTTTGTTTGATATTTATTAGGAATAGAAGTTAATTAGAAAGCATCATAGCATTATTATATATTTTAATTGTTCTTATTTATGTGAGACTAAAAACGTCATAATTAGGAAACAAATTTAACTTTTATTACTGAGATACTAATTTCTTAAAAATGTTTTTACAGATTTTATCTTGAAATATCTTAAATAGGTATAAAATTAATTTGAATTATAAATTATAAAAGTGTAAAATTTTAAACTAGGCCAAGAAAAAAGTTTGGCATATATTTTGAATAAAAAAAACCTGTAAAGCTACATTGGCAGAAATTGTTTCACTGATGAAGAAGAGAGACTTGGGTTTGATTGCCATCGAATTCAAAAGTTTTATTCAAAGATCTCTTACCAAACTAAGGTTGCTTTTTTGCTAATTTTAAAATCTGTTTAACTGTTTTTTATGTTAAAGCATGTGTAACAAAAATATACACATTAGAAAACTGCTCATGTAGTTTTAGAGAAAATCAGATCATCCTGGGAGAAACCTGAAAAATGTTTGGAAAATTAAGTATTTTTAACTTGTTTTTTTTGCTGAAATCTAAGTTGCCTACATCGTGAAAACACAACTGTAGGATTCTCTCTACATAATAAGGCTGAACTACAACAAAAGGAAGAATGCCTTCATTAATTCATGGCTTTTGAGTTGCATATTTTCATAGATATGTCATATGTATTTAATCTTCATTATTTACATTAACCAGTAACATTGTATTCCCTTTCTCTATATTGTTTTACCCAGATATGCTTAATTTTAGAAACATGAGACGATTGAACATCATAGCATGCCATCTTATAATGAGTGAATTGTATTTTTTATTACGAATGTAAATTTATGGAATCCCTTTTTTTAATGTATATTAACATTTTTAAACATTTTTTCACTTGCACTGAATTTCTATTTTATTTCTATATAGCCCTTGCTGTGAAGTGCTATATCTGTAGCTGGTCACCAAGGGATGCTACAAATACAACAGTTTTGTGCAGTGACGAACATTTTGAAGCAAATATAGTTAGCATGTTAGATTGTGACAAAGGATGTGAAACATATGTTCACATAGATGCTAATGGTATGTAATCCTCATTTCAACTATTTAATAAAATTAATAGTATTAAAAAATAATCTAATAAGTATTAAAATTAATAGTATAAATTTTGTACAATATCCCTTGCATTTGTATTATAGTAAAATGAAACTATATAAGGTAGATTAAGTTTCTTATTTTATTAAATATAGGTTATATTAGTGCCTGAGAGTAGGCATTTACTGTTTTTTAGTTCCTTGTATGAAGAAAAGGAAGTACTGTAATCACGAAATTTTCGGGTATCATATTTCAACGAAAATATCCATTTTTGCTGTTATTGAATACAATTTACCGATGTTTTTGCTGTTTGTTACAGCTGTACGTAAGGTTAGAATAAGGGACTTTTTTACCCAAAACAGGTTGCAAAAAGGATTTATAATGAATAGAGTCAGAATGTTGAAATTTTGTATATAGGACTGCTATAATGTGTAGTTGTGCCCATCCTTTTTCAGCTGCAATCGGCTGAACCAGAAGTTTATATACACTCTTTTGCTAAAACCCCGAAGCACCAAGAAAGACCTTTGCGATTGTGACAAAATTTGGTATGCAAAAATATCTTCATCGAACATGCAAATGATAAAAGTTTCAAGACAAATGAATGGGAATTGCGATAATGGCATGTATTTCTAGTGCGCAGTTTGCAAAGTATAAAACCAGTAACAGAGGCGGAAAGGTGCCATTACGGCACTATCGAAGACCTTGCAGACAACTAAACTTTACCGAGCGTGGTCGCATTGTAGGTTTGCGTGAAGCTTGGTGGTTGATATTGAGCAATAGGCCACCACCTGCAGAGTACAGACACTGCTGTGCAAAGATGTTGGCAGCAATGAGTGCTACAAGGAAGTTGCCAATGAAATGAAGACTCTGGAAAGACAAGGAGCGCAAATGCGAGGCAAGATAGGATGATTGTTCGCCAAGGCAAGATAGGATAATTGTTTGCCATGCCCGAACTGCCACAACGGTATCATTGTCGACTATTGAACACACTACAGCCACGTCTATACCTCCCATAGTACCGTGCACCATCTCACGGGGCTTGTCTGAGGTGGGGCTACGCTCACAGAAGCCTTTAAGATATTGGTCTTTGAGCCCACAACATCGGAGTCGTCTGGAGCGGTGTCGCAGCCGATCATCATGGCTGCTGTGATACTTCTTTAACAATTTGAAGTAAACTTCAATGATGGAACACAGCAATAACTTTTATTTTACACTAAAAAAAATGGCGACATACGAAACAAAAGAAGAAAAAGTATATATACTTATTTTTAAAAAATAATTACAAGCTTCGTGCAAGAAAAAGCATGCGGCTCTCGAGCCTGCATTTCAATATTGCCAGTAACCTGTACATTATTTATTATCCATGTATTTCAAATGCACGAGAGATTAATAACGATATTAAAGCTGTTACACTGCCATCAGACTGGCATCTTATAGTGTTCAGCGATGAATCCCGCATCACTCTTGAAGCAGATGACCACCATGTTCTTGTCTGAAGAGGATGTGGCCAGCGGTCCCAATCAGCCTTTGTTTTACAAAGGCATACAGCCATAACTCCTGGTGTGATGGTGTAGGGTGCTATTTCTTATGACAGCAGATCATCCTTAGTCATTCTCCATACATCTTTAACAGCTCAACGATATATTGATACAACCCTGTGGCCAATTGCATTACCCTTCATAGCATGTCATCCCGAGGCCATTTTCCAACAAGATAATGCCAGGCCACATACTGCTCGCATATCTCTGGACTATCTCCTGTGTGGTTGATACTCTTCGTAGGCCAACAAGGTCACCAGACCTTTCACCAATCGAGCATGTCGGGGACATGCTTGTCCCCCAGATTAGGCATCACAAAATATCGCAGATCTGGAGCGACAACTGATGAGTGCCTGGCAGAATGACATTAGGAACCTCCACCACTTCTTGCCTCGATGAATTCAAGCATGCATTGCTGCCAGGGGCAGTTCAACCAACTACTAATTTGAACACTCAATGGGTGATTGTGAGCCGTGAACAGGTACTATAATTTTGATTTTTTTAATCATTTTATTATTTGTGTATGAGGCTTTACATATATTCAATTTCATCAAAAACAACCACTTCCTTCATGGTGCGTCGATTTTTTTGGAAAAGAGTGTATATATATATATACCCACTCTGTTAGTTAGCTCTATGAGATCAGTTCTTTTATTCTTATATGTTTTGTAAATTGTGCATTTTTTGCTTTAAAAATGATTGAATCATGTTGTTCTTATCTTCTGGTTAAGGATTTTGTACCTTTACTTAATGTGCCTTCAATAGTTGTAGAATTAACAATAATTTAAAAGCTGTTTAAGTGCGGCTAAGCCTAATTTTTTTTAAACCATAGTAGCCATATTTGTTTACATTTAAAACTTAGTAGAATAGTGAATTAAGTCAGTTTCTTCACCTTCAGTGTGTTTTTGCAGAGTAGAACCAAAAGTAAATTTTCAGTTTTTGTGCACCGAAAAATCTGCCTATTGGCCCGCTAGCCGAAATGCTTTTTTTTGCATATAAACTCGAATTTTATTGTAAAAATTGTTTTTAAATTGTTTTAACAGTAATTGGTGTTTTATATTTTTCAATCTTCAATAAACATATTTTGAGGTTTTATGTTTATTTGCCTTGATAATTGAATTAATTAATTAAGAAATATATCTCTAATGAATTTCAGGGAAATAAGTTTAGATGAAATACTGGAAAAAATATGTATAATTTAATATTCTGTATAAGGAAGTCATGTGGTGTACTCATCAGATTTTTTATGTAAGCTATGCAGTTTGTTCTTTAAAAGTAGGTTAGGTTAGTAGATGAAGGTAAAATACACAAGGGCTATTTGCCTAAGGGGGACTGCTGAAGGACTTTTTAAGGTAAACTGGCTCATATGTGTGTTAAACATTGGGGAAAAACAGATTATGCATGTTTTTATTAAATGTAGCAATTTCTGTACTGATTTTCATTAAATTATTCTTTAATCATACCGTCAGTCTTTCCTGACATACCTGCTGGCACAAACATTTGCAAATGCAGAGAAAACAGTCCAGATAATTATCATCATCTTTTATCTGATGTATTATCATCATGACATGGTTTTTTTTTTAAAGTGATCTAAGCTCATTCAAGAATTACTTGATCAATTCCTGACATCTCTTCTGCAAAATATACAGAGCAATTGACACTATTAGTTAAACATCTGCGAAACAGCATAAATGTCTACATCCTAAAAGCTTTATATAATCTAGGCAAAGGGCTTAAATGTTGATAATTAATAATATGCAATTTTCATATTGAAGTAGCTGTGAATAGGTGCGAATTTACGGATATTTCTGATTAAATGGGAAACAGTGGGGTATTTTTGAAGGAAAAATTTATGAAAAGTAGACACTTTAAAAATAGTTTCATAAGTTAATTTTTAAGTGATACACATACCATTTTGGGTAAATATTCTAATGTTCATATAGAAGGCGACAAACAAAATACTGCAAAAAAAAAAAAAAAAAAAAAAAAGGCACTAATGTTACTCACGTAAAGAAGGAAAATCTTCTACTCAGCTCAGGCCTTATATGTTATTATTAAATGGGAGGTGTTCCCAGTTATTAAGTGCAAAAACAGTCCAAAATGGTTAAAGGATAATTTGCTACTGATATGATAAAACTGTTAGAAGGTCCACATGTTTTATCATTAAAAAATATTAAATGGATGTTTATAAAGCATAAAAAAAAAATTTCTTTAAAAAAAAAAAAATGTTGTTGGTGATCTGAAGGTCCGGATTTTAAGTTCATTTGGGATATCGGACATCAGGATTTCAGACTTTGTACTGTATACATATGTGTATTTATTTCTTTCGTTGCACCAACCCCATAATGACGATGCAGCAGAAGATGTAAAGTTCTTGTATCATTTTTGGTTTTGCCATATTTTGCCCCTATTTCTTGCAATTGGCCAGTGTACTTCTGGTTTTTTGTTTTATGCCTTTGATTTATTAAAACTGAATGTGTGTTGAATTTTAAACGTATTTTTTAAAATAATATTTTATATATGTATAATATCCTTTTATTGCTAGTAAAAGAAGTATTATTATATTTAAATCAGTGATGTATTTTTGATATAACTTTGCTAGTGCAATGCAATCTTACATAATTCTTCTTTTATTATTATTAATTGTGTGGAATAGGTTTGTAGTGTATAACAATGCATAACATATGCATTATCTCAATGGACACCATCATCTGCAGACTGGGGTGGATGTATGATTATACCTATTTACTTTTGTTATATATTCAAATATCCATCATTCCTTTACTGAATGGTCCTGTATGTGTTAATTTTAAAATTAGTTTAAATAATTAAAATAACGTTTTAGGAAAGTTTCTCCATGATACACTGGAGTGCAAAAATTAAGGACGAGACGGTTTTTTCAATATAACTTTGTACAACAGCTTTCCATATCAACACATTTAATACCGTAAGATCCCCAATACGTAAGGACATGAGTAATGTAAAGCAACACTTACTAAAAGAGAAATCAGAGGGATAAAAAGAAGCTTTATTGAAAAAGTAGCATGGAGCGCAATGCGACTGAAGGCCGAAACATCCCTGTGATGGGTGTCCAGCAAGAAACATCCAGTCTTTAATAGGGGATATGATCTCCCCTGACTGCTAGACAGGTTTCACAGCGTCTGCCCATGCTGAGAATGAGAGTGTCAATGAGCTGCCCATTCGTCTTGCAGCGCCAATCGAAGCTCCGGAATCGTTACTGGTGGTAAGGTACGAGCTGCCAAGCGTCTGCCTAGAAAATCCCATACATGCTCGATGGGATTGAGATCCAGAGATCGTGCCGGCCAATCCATACGTTCAATATCCTCACTCTCTAAAAGCTGTTCGGCAGCTACTGTGCGATGACATGGTGCATTGTCGTCCATGAAAAGGAACTGGCGGACCCATAGCGCCTCTAAAAAGACGCACATATGGAAGAAGAATCTCGTTACAATAACGGGTCCCCTTGACTGAACCTGCGTCGAAGATGTGAAGGTCTGGTACGACTACCAAGCATGATGCCTCCCCAAACGAGAACACCGCCACCTCCATACCTGTCCCTTTCAATGATGTTCGAGGGATGATTGCGGCTTCCCCGCTCTCTCCAGATGAGTATGCGATGAGAATCGCTACTCAGACTGAATCTGCTCTCATCTGTATAGAGTACTCGTCCCCATTCATTGTCTCTCCAATTCCGGTGTTCCCGGCACCACAGAGAATGCCTTCTCCGATGGGCAGGTGTTAGAGGTACACACCATACAGGGCGTCGTGCAAACAGACCACCACCGTGCAGTCTTCTGGCCACGGTAAAACGCGATATCGGTCGTCCAGTTGCCTGTGTCGTGTGTCTAGCGATTTCTCCCGCTGTCTGCCGCCTGTTTCTTCTGGCCTGTAAAGCAATATACCGGTCATCTGCAGGTGTGGTTCCTCGTGGACGACCACTACTAAACCCCCAGATAGCTGTTCCTGTAGTTTGAAATTGTCTCCAAAGTCGTGAAACGATGCTGTGAGCAATTCCGAAGTCTGCAGCCACACTGCGGCCTTCCTCCAACTTCCCAATGATTCGACCTCGGGTAAAAGCATCCAGATGTCGTCTAACAGATTGATTATTCGCCATTTCTCGCTGAGGCAGCAACTCTGTGTGATTTTAACTGCTATACGGCATGCAATCTCTTTGCCAGAAATACTGATCTTACACCGACAACATGCTTTATACTACTCAGACACTCCCCCATTACGTCTACCTGCATATCTACGCATATGCTACCGTACATCACCTTACTTAATCTCCTGATTGGTCTTTCTGTCCGCTCTGCCTCTTCGTTCAGCTGATATGCTAATTTTTCGACTTCGTTCTTAATTTTTGCACACCAGTGTATATGAATTTTAAATCTTTCAATGTAAAATAATAATTCTTTTGTTCACTGTTTTTTTTGTTTTTTTATACTGCTCTCAATATTTTATTATCATTGTGATTATTTTTTCTTCCAGGAGCTGTCGTGCAACTACGTAGGAATTGCTTGCAACCAGAAACAGAATTGACTGGAGATTGTAGATTAGAAGAGAAAAAAGCTTTTACATTAAAACGATGCACATGTGATTCACACTTGTGTAATGCTGCATCATCAGCTTACATGTTTTCTGGTGTTCTTTTGTTTTTAATTTTGATTTTACGAGTTTTATATCATGTTTAAAAAGAAAAAACTGCTTTTTAGGTTGTTTTTAAGTTCTTGCTAATTAGTTGGGAAATGTGGTTGCAGATTTTAATTTTTTGTGCAAATTACTTACTGCCTTTGCAAAACGATTGTATATTAAAATTACCAATAAACTATTTTGTATGTTCCTGAATTTTATTTTGTTTAAAGTATGCACATACACTTTTAAAATGCTAAACAGAAGTACAGTAGTTTAAAGATCTTAATTTATTCATAAGGGAAAAATAATCAGTAGTCTGTAACTCTATATTATGAATCACTTTAATTTTTTGTGTAATATTGTGTTATGATTATGATGAAATTGGTAAATTGAATATTTTTGTTGGGATATATAATTCATCTAAGATATTAAATTTGCCTGTATGTATTGAAAGTCATATCGGCTACTTGTAGACTAATATTGAGTAAATTATTTAATTAACCCACTGAATAAATTTGATAAAATTAAAAAAGATGCTGAATATTAAGTTTTACATAAATTCATAAAAATAAAATATAAAACCAATGTAAGCAGTACTAAAAGTACAAAGATAATCAACATGAAATTTTTCATTACATAGCATATGTTTTTACCATTTTTTTTTTTTTTTTTTTTTTTTTTTTTTTGTATAATTTATTTAACATATTCAAATAAGCTTCATATTGTTCATTTAAAAATCATCATATTTCTTAAATGTTATGTAAAGATCTTTGTATTTTCAGTATCTCGACTTAGTTTCCAGCTGCTTGTGCCATTCTATTTGTTTTTTGAACAATTTACAGTTATGACCATTGCAGGCATATGTTTCATAATGGTTTATTAACTAATCATTGTATATTATGGCAATATCCTTCATGCAAATAAGAATTAAACTTCTCATTAAAATGTTTTGAATAACAATATATATATATATTTAACCTATTGCAAGATATTTTGAAATTATATATTTGTATGGAATGGAGAGTAATTACAATAGCCTACTGTAGTTACCTGTCTCTGAATGAGTATTTAATGTCTAAAGCTGTGTAATTTGGGAATATGGTAATTTTGAGCAGATTTTTTTATGGAGTTTATTATCATTAACTTGGAATTAATATCTTTCATAAGCATAAAACTTGAAAAATTTTAACTAAAAAGCTCCTACAGTAATTAAAATAATTACAGAATTTAAATACTTATTGCTAATGATTAATTTATATCTGCAGGGGCAGATATTTTCGATTAGAAAGAAATACCAAAGAATTTGCTACTGGTTATTTTAAGTACTTTATCATTAGTCATTTCAAGCTCTGCTTAATCTGTTTTTCAATTGTCACATGTAAAAGAAAGGGGGGAAAATGTAAGGTTTTGGATTCAGTTAGTTTTGTAAATGTTTATAGTATATTCTGCAGATTTGTCATGATTGTTTCATTATAATCTAATTTCATAAAATTAGGAATTCTTTTTGTGTTGGTGTTCTTAACTGAAAGTATATTTAACAACTTAAATCAGATGTGAAGTTGATCCAGTATAGGCCATCATTATTATTTTCTACTGTGTGTGCCAACTGAAACAATTAAATTTAATAATCTCTCTGGTTAGGTCAATATTTTTGCTATTGATGATATTTATATCTAAAAAATCTTATGTTAGTGATTTCATTTTCCCATCATTTAATAGTTTCTTTATCCTTTAAGTAATAATCCTTTATTTAAAGAGCATAATTTTAAAAACTTATTTTTTGTCTTTCTTTTGGTCATAAACTGTATAATATTTTTTTATTTTAAATTTCAGGGTATTAAAAGTGCCCCAGGATGTAGTTTTCAAAATTAGCATGTCTATTATTATAATCTTCATGCTAATCTATGTCAGTTTTGGGAACATTTTACTCTTCAGCTTTTTTTTTTAAATATTAACTTAAACAGTTCGAATGACAGAAATATTCTTCTGAAATCTGTAAGGAAATATACAGCAAATTCTTATATATTTTTTGTTATGTTCTTGATTTCCATCTCCAAACTAGACTTAATTAAATATACTATATAGGAGAATTTGTAAATGCTAATTGAGTAACAGCTGCTTAATGTTAACTATGCTTTATTAATTTATATTTGAATAAAATAATAAATATTTGTTTACTTGTGCTATTGATTTTGCACAATGTTTATAGAAAGGCTATTACAAACAAATAAGTATTTTAGAATAAGTTTTTTAATGAAACTTAATAATTGCTGTTTTCTCGTTGCATTTTTACACCTTTAAATATGGTTCAAATGTCTTTATATGCATTTTATAAAATATATAAATTGATATGTTTTTGTTCTTCTTATCACTGCCTAATAAAGTGAAATTTTTATACATCTCATCACATTCTATACATAATCATCAATGACTTGGCATAGTTTTTTTATGTAAAAAAGTATTTACTTGTTTTTTATAATGTATATATATATATCGATATATATCCTTTGTAAAAGATGTATGTAACTATAAATTCAAGCACAGCACAATTTTTTAAACTTTCTTTTTCTATTTTTTTAAAAATTACACTGCTTTCTATAAAACTATATGAACTTAATATTTTTTTTATGCTTTCTTAGTATGTGAACCTATAAATTTATGTTACTAGTCATTTATATAAATAGTGAAAACTTGGTATTTAATTTTTTATAGTAGTCTATTGCACAAAATTTTAAACATCTTTTTATGTTGAAATTGAAGCTAAATAAAGATGATCATTTAAAATTTTTCAGGTGTATGAAATTGGCTAGCTGAATTTTAATAGTATGATTAAAATACAGTGTACTCTCGATTATACAGGCTAATGCCAGGGAAGTAGGTAATGGATAATTAAAAAACATGGATAACCCAAACTATAAGTTTTCATGCATTTGTATGTGTTCATTTCTTAAAAAATTAGTATTTTTCTTTTTGAAAATGTTAAATATTTAACAAATTTCACCGCATATTTTTCCAAGTACTATTGTATCATTGTACTGGAATCCTCTTTGGTCAACGAATTCCAACAAAGTTTCGACAGAAGTGATTGCTATCTCAGGTCTAATTTAATTTTCAGTATTTACATCATATATATTTTCAGTATCATGCTGTACCTTTTCTGTTCTTCTGACATTTGAAATGGTATACATCTCATTTGCATACTGAAATTCCAGCTTAGTTGAATAGCCATCGAACCATTCCTTGATGTTTTCCCAATTAACATTGTTGAATAATTTTAGATTTTCAAATTTTTGGCATACAACTTCAGTTACTTACTCAATTTTTTCACAGTTAGATTAGACTATTGAACAGTGTAATCATTAACACAATCAAAAAATGCAATTCAGTAGTTTTTGGAACATACTCAGATTTGCACATGTTTGTGTTTTATACACTCTAGCAGATAGCATTCAGTGTGCATAGAAGAGCAGTGCCACACACAGATAATTTGCAGCCACAGCCAGATAATCAAGAGTGCACTGTAACAAGAACCATAATGTATAATTAAATGCAAAATCTCTGAAACTATAAAAGAAAATTTAAGGTAAATCTGTAGTAGCATGGTGGAAAACTTATTTAATTAAACTGATTAAATAACTTTACACTAAAGCTATAAGTGCACTGATTTTCAATTTGAATAATTAATGTGAATATTTGCTATTTCAGAGCATAAAATTTTTTATTTACATTGAACATACATTTTATGTGTGTATTTGTGTAAAAGGTAAAGAATTCTAAAATTCTTTTAAAATTATTAAAATTAAGGCATTATTTTATATCTCAAAACTGGAACTTCATTTCGATAATTACTGATATTTGTTTTGAGATGCTATATTTCATATTTCAAATTCAAATATGGAAAGTAATTTTTATGTTTGATAAACTACAGGGGTTGGACTAAAATATGGAAACACCTTTAAAAAAACATGTTTCTTTGCTTAATATGGTGTAGGAAACCCATTGGCATCCAAAACAGCTTGCAGTCTTCTCGGAATGGATAAATACAGTTCCTGTATGTTTGCCAAGGGAATATTATACCATTCTTCCTGCAAAACGGTGGCAAGTTCAGATAACGATGTTGGCGGTGGATAACGAGAACGCACTTTCCGTTCCAATGTAGACCACAAAGGTTCGATAATATTCAGGTCTGGTGACTGTGGTGGCCAGGGTAGATGGGACAACTCATCCTCGTGCTCAGAAAACCAGTCCTGGACAATGTGAGCTGTGTGAACAGGGGCTTTGTCGTCTTGGAAGACACCATCACCATCGGGGAACAAAGTTTGTACCATGGGATGAACTTGATCGGCCAAAATGTTCACATAAGTCTTGGCAGTCATGTGCCCTGACACAGTTATCATGGGGCTAGCAGAGAACCACGATATGGCTGCCCAAACCATAACAGAACCCCCGCCATGTTTCACTCTTGGCAACAAGCAGTCTGTATTATAGGCTTGAGATGGCGTTCTCCAGACGTAAACTCGGCCAGAAGTGGGAAACAATGTGAAAGAAGACTCGTCAGACCATATTACTCGCTTCCACTGCTCTATAGTCCAGGCTTTATGACTTAAACACCACCTTTTCCTGTGTACGGGCATTAGCATCACTGATGAGTGGCTTCTCAATTGCAGCACGGCCAGCAATTCCCTGTTTATGAAGCTCCCTTCTAATTGTTTTGGTACTCACAGGGTTCGGTAACACAACATTCATTTCAGCAGTAACTTTTGCAGCTGTGGTCTTCTTATTTTTCGTCACAATTGCCCTTAATGATCGTCTGTCACGATCACTCAGGACACACTTTCGTCCACGCTGTGATTTAGCAGATGATGTTTTTCCTCTTTTTAAATATGCGGAATAAATCTTCGATACAGTACCTCTTGAAACACTAAACACTTCGGCTACCTTGCTTACGGAAGAACCTACCATACGTGCTCCAACAATTTGCCCACGTTCGAAGTCTGTTAACTCTGACATAATGCAATGACAACCTCACATAACAGTACTCCGACAACAACTGAACTGTTTAGCACATTTACGAAGTTGTATAGGTGGCGTCAATAGTCAAAAATGCTAGCGCCACCTACATATTTCGTTAAAATCAATCTTTCTTTTCAAACATGCATTTCGCAAGGTGTTTCCGTATTTTTGTCCATTCACTGTATATGTTTTGTGTTTGA